AAAGGCCGCGATTTTTGGCAATTTAAAAAGTCTTATTACTTTCTTATTGGAATATTATTATAACTTTATTTAACTTAATTGTTCTATGTTTGTTCTATTTCAATTAAAACATTTTAATAAATACATGTTGGAAGCAATTAATATCTTTTAAGTTCTCATCCTTAGAATAGAAAGAGCAGTTCATATTGTGATGGTATCATGTGGGAATGCTCCATCACATGTTTTAAATCTATTACACAGTGAATATTGAACTGAAGCTTGACTTAAAAATTTATCGCAAATCAAATTGCAATATCTGTCAGAAAAATCGCAATTAGATATTTTCCCCAAATCGTTCAGCCCTACCCTACATCGTCCACTGCAAACACCTGGCAGGACTCTCCTGACATGTAGCCGGTAGACTCAGTGAGGCTTTAAAAAAAAAATGTGACTTTCATTGTAATTTGTGTTTTTCATCATCAGCTCTGCCAATGCCGCTGAGTTACAATGGGAAGCAAACTCAGCCCCGAGTACCAACCTTCAAACTGACCTGAACCCTGCCAATAGCCCCACCACCGCCCACACTAAGCCATGCCTCACCTCCGATTAGCACGATCATACCCCCTATTAGCACGCTTGGCTATCGTACGCCGCGAAATAAGTTCAGCATACACGTCCACTCTTCACCATTTCTCTGCGTTTCAGTGTTGGTGCCCGGAGCACTGGTACCCAGTGGGGTAGCTGCGCACAGTGTTTCCCGGCGAGTGAGCGGGGACGCTGATCGGACCCCGAGCGAGAGGCGGGCAGCGTCGGTGTCGGCATGAATGAGTCCTGCGTGAGGGGGGCCACCCCTGCCCGGCCTGGCACGAGCGTGCCCCCCGGGCACGTGCTCATCAGCGAGAAGTGGAGGGGAACGCAGGTGGCACAGGCGCTATCCGGTGCGTGGTCATGATGAGCGTTGCGATATGAACCATTTCCGATGACGTATGTGTACACGTATATCATCTTTTGATTCCATTCCGATGATATATGCGTACGTCATCGGAATGGAATCGGAAGAAAAAATTTAAACTTTATTGGTACGAGGCATCCACAAGACCATGCGGGAGGATGTGTGGCACAGTTTGGATCCAGCTATCACAGCACGGTCGTGTCGCTACGGTTTTCTGCAATGAGCAGTGTCTTTAAAAAGGGCGCTGCGTGTTTCTAAATAAAATTAACGTTAACCGCTTGCACCTTCCGAGATTAAGCGGTGAACGGGATACCCACCCTGCAACTTGCAGACGTCTTGGAATGGGTTAAAATGCCGACCCATAAATTAAAATAAATAGTACATTATTTTTAAACTGTTTTCCCCAATTATATCCCGATTGTGCTGTTTATGTCGCATCATTAGACGAATAATCTATTTTAAACTTAAAGAGCAGTTCAAACCTTTGTGTGAGAGGACAGCCCGTGGAAGCGGATGTCAAAGAGCTACCTCTGAGATCACTTCTTCAAGTAGCCAGTTTCTACAAAGTATGGAGGGCAACACTTTCCCACCCACTCCGCCACCGAGAGTGATGATCGTCGGATGACATTCAAACTGATGTTGTTCACTCTTGGCTGTATATCACCCTCTGTGCAGAACCAAATTTCATGTCGCTTTATTTGCGCAGCCACTGTTGGTGAACTGGGCCGAGACCATCACCTCGTTATACCCGAGGGCCCTGTGCTCCAGGCTTGACGGCATCTTAACGTTCACATCCTGACCGTTTGGCGTTTGCGTACAAACACCTGGGTTGTGCTTTGTGTCTGCGTGCAGGAAAGGTGCGACTTGTGTTCGAGGAGGCGATGGGCCTCACGGACTTCCAGCTCTCGGACCGCACCTGCCTCCTGTTCATCACAGAGAGCGACCAGGTCACCGGCTCCGACTACAAGCGCAGGCTCGTGCGCTTCCGAAAGGTGAGATCGTGCCGGCATTCGGCCGACAGCATAAACCTTCCTGCCTTGAGAATCATATTTATTTAGACTGCAGGGGGAATGCGATGAGCTATAAAGCTCTTTTGTCACAGATGTCCAGTAGGGGCACGGGGTCTGAACGTTACAACAGTACAAAAACACGACACCAGCGCAAAGTACCTGGTGCAATGTGTCAACATCGTCGCGAGGGAGGCATGACAGCCGGGCGTTGTGCTGTCCATCCACCCCTCGTGTGCCACAGTGCCAGCCTTCATGGGTGCTGCTGCTCGCTACTAACAGCAGCTTGCCCCAGCAGTCCGCTTAAGGCTACACGGGTGGGGGGGGATCTTTGTCTTTCACGTGAGACAGAAGAGCGCCGCTAACTCCCTGGTGCTGGTGGAGCTGACGCCGCTGAGCGAGCAGTACTTTGCCGACGTGCAGGCCTTCGTGGTGCTCGACCTGGGCATGGCCATCGTCCCGGTGAGCGGCCAGGCCGAAGCAGCGCTCGTCGTCGCCCACCTGGTGAGCAGGAGCCGTGCGCATCGCGCTGGGCCGGCCGCGCGTCCAGAGACTCTAGTCACCGTGGGGGCGGTGGGGTAACTTATCTTAAGGTCGAGTTGAATCTCACTTTTAACTCATAGTTGGCTTTCGAGACCAATATTATCCAGAGTTTTTTTGGGTTAGATTGAACCATACCTCTGGCCTTCGTACCTGATTAGCTCACAAGTGACGACATCACATTTATCCCTCTATTTAAGAACGAAGCAGGAGGATTTCTCCACACATCTGGCTGCCGTCTGATGATACTGGTAGTAATTACTGGCGAAACGTCGTACTCAAATTGTAAATCTTGTGGGTTTAACCCTCCAACACACCGGTGTGCTGTACTAGTAACGAATTGGCATGTTTTGTTTACGTGATACACCTTGCTAACGTGACAAACCTTGCTAATTGCCTGTGTTGGGTGGTGGCGGGTTTAATGACATTCATATTTACGCTAGCCCGGCTGAATATCCTGAGACTGAGGTCATGGGTAGGGGGGTGGGACGGCGGTTGCAGCAACATAACTCAAGGTCAAGTTGATTGTGTGTCACTGTGGTGAGAACTGGAGTTGTGTAGGCACCTCATTTTTGCAACACGAACATTCATAGGCAAGGACATTCTTAACCCTGGCGCACGGGGCCTTGATGGCAAGGAGCCCTACCTCTCTCCTCACGTCCGGGGCTATCGAATAAATATCAAGTGCGGCTGTGTTAAAGAAAAGCTGACGTTCTCCCTACGGCCATGGGTATGCTCGCCGTTTGGTCCTCAGGTGGCCGAGGAAGGCAAGAGTCCCGGGACTAACCCCTTCTCCCCCTCGCGGGGCGCGCCGGGCTCTGGCGACGCCGCCGTTCTCGACTGCGTCACGCACATCCCGGGCATCGGGCGCGTGAAGGCTCTGGCGCTACTGGAGCGCTTCCCAAGCCTGCACGCGCTGTCCACCGCCTCCGATGAGCAGCTCGCCGTCGCGGTCGGCCGAGGGGCTGCCGCCAGCGTCCGGGCGTTCTTCACGCAGCGCACGGGGCCCTGATGGCAGGGAGGGCCTCTCACGGTACTACAAGTATTTGCCACGTCGAGCAGTGATCAAAACTCCCCTCGCCCCTCCATCGCTTCCTGTCCCTCCCCTAACCTTTCATGATCGCTAAAAACCACTCTATCACTGTCACTCAATCCTTGTAGCACGTAACTGCTAATTCCCGCTGGTTATTTGCCACTTCGAGCAGTGACCAAACCTCCCCTTCCTGTCCCTCCCCTAACCTTTCTCATGAAAGGTTAGGGGAGGGGCACACTATCACTCAATCCTTGTAGCACGTCACTGCTAACTAAATCATTGCATATTGTTTTGTAAGCTATGTCAAATGCCTTGAGTGAAGGTGCGTTCGATACATGTAATTACATTTTGGTCCGACACTCTTTTTGTTGATGGGGTTGTCAATTTACAGCTTCAAATGTAACTAAGTGCCCAAAAATGAAAGGACCGTGTATAAAGTTTTTTTATTTACCTCTCGTGCATTAAATCGAATCATCAATTATTTTTGATTCACGTAATGGGTCTAGGTGTCTCCACTACAGTTACAGAAAAATACATACACATTCAAAATAATATTAAAGTGTATAGAATAATTACAGCACATAGATGAAATGGACTATTATAGTTGTGTTATATACTTAAGTAATATGACAGTAGAATTCTAACAGCATGGAGCCACAGAGAACACAATTCACAAAACGATAATTTTATTTTTCAGGTTTGAGAGTATTTACAAACATGAGGTGGTTTGACGCTGGCTCTCTTCTCTCCGTGTGTCCCTCAGTCTGGACACTGGGGGGGTGAGAAGACACAAGAGACCCCTCAACCCTTCACATGTTCACCTGAAGATTCTCAGATGAAAATCTTCCCCTCGTGGCAGCGCCTATTCTTGTGCAGTGAAGGTACCCCAGCAGAAGCCACAGAAGTTGGAAAAGTCCACAGTCAAGTGGCCTCCCACTTGGAAGCTCCCTTGGCCACGCCGGCAGAGCAGAGGTCGCAACCGGGTACCCGATACCCGTACCCTACCAGATACCCGGCTACCCGTTTCCAGCCGGTAGAGGTCGCAAACGGGTTTTGATTCCTTACCCGCATCCGTACCTGGCCGCGCCAAGGTTGCAAATGGCTACCCGTACTTGGCCGGGTACAGGTAGCCGGGTATCGGGTACCCGGTTGCGACCTCTGCCGGCCGGGTACGGGTAGGCCGTGAGTCACTGGTGAGTAACCGTTTGTCACTCATTTCGGGTAGGGTACGGGTAGGGAAACGGGTACCCTTACCCGAGTGGGTACGGGTCCGGGTACCCATTTGCGACCCTGGTGCGGCCGGGTAAGGAATCAAACCCCGTTTGCGACCTCTGTGGCGGAGCAAGCCCTCTGCACCCGCCTCTTCCTTCACCACTCCTGCCCCGCGCAGCCTGGGCACGCTTCGCGTGGGACGAGCCAAGGGGCAGCCCTTAATGCCAAACAGCAGCTCTGGCTCTCTTCCGCGCTCGGGTCGTCGAGGCGGCTACCGTCGTCGCCGAGAGCCGCGGCCTCCCAGAATGCGGCCGGGTGCGCCAGCGGGGAGGAGCGAGGTGGGGGCCGCCCAGGCACCAGCAGCAGCAGCTGCTCAGATTCAAGCGGGGGCTGCTCAGCCGTCAGGAGGAGGCCGGTGTCGTGGAGGAGGTGGTGCTTCGGGTGACGGGGACTCGGATCCTTGAGCGCGCAGGGCCTTAGGCAAGCGAGACCTGGGGCACAGTGAGGGGGGTGGCATCAGCACTGCGTGTGCCTGGGCACTTCGCTGAATCGTCATCCAATGCAAGTACTCTCGTCAAGTCGCCATCGTCGTCAACTTCCTACGGTCGCTATGGCCATGCATGGAGAGATCGCACAGAGGAGCATGACGCACCTGGAAACATGGTGCTACCCAGGGACATCGCCGTGACCTTAAGAAAAGTGGACTTGGACAGGACACGTTTCAAGACAGGCGCGTTATCAGTATTTATCATATCAGTAGATCTATGATGTTGCGAAGAGGTATTTTGGTCATTGTCATGAAGCTGCCTCACCACTATGAACTGTGCCCACTCATCCCTTTATAATCCCCACTCACCACTACCTACTCACCCCACTTACCACTACCTAATCACCCCACTCACCACTACCTACTCTCACCACTCATCACTTGATAATCCCCACTCACCACTACCTACTCTCAACACTCACCACTACCTACTCTCACTCACCACTACCTACTCTCAACACTCACCACTACCTACTCTCAACACTCATCCCTTGATAATCCCCACTCACCACTACCTACTCACCCAACTCACCACTACCTACTCACCACTACCTACTCTCACTCACCACTACCTACTCACCCCACTCACCACTACCTACTCACCCCACTCACCACTACCTACTCACCCCACTCACCACTCATCCATTGATAATCCCCACTCACCACTACCTACTCTCAAAACTCACCACTACCTACTCACCCCACTCACCACTACCTACTCCCCCCACTCACCACTACCTACTCACCCCACTCACCACTCATCCCTTGATAATCCCCACTCACCACTACCTACTCTCAAAACTCACCACTACCTACTCACCACTACCTACTCTCAACACTCATTCCTGGATAATCCCCACCCACCACTACCTACTCACCCAACTCACCACTACCTACTCACCCCACTCACCACTACCTACTCACCCCACTCACCACTACCTACTCACCCACTCACCACTACCTACTCACCCCACTCACCACTACCTACTCACCCCACTCACCACTACCTACTCACCCAACTCACCACTACCTACTCTCACTCACCACTACCTACTCTCACTCACCACTACCTACTCTCACTCACCACTACCTACTCACTCACCCAACTCACCACTACCTACTCACCCAACTCACCACTACCTACTCACCGCTACCTACTCTCAACACTCATTCCTTGATAATCCCCACTCACCACTACATACTCACCCCACTCACCACTACCTACTCTCACTCACCACTACCTACTCACCCCACTCACCGCTACCTACTCTCACTCATTCCTTGATAATCCCCACTACCTACTCTCACCACTACCTACTCACCCCACTCACCACTACCTACTCACCCCACTCACCACTACCTACTCACCCCACTCACCACTACCTACTCACCCCACTCACCAGTACCTACTCACCCCACTCACCACTCATCCCTTGATAATCCCCACTCACCACTACCTACTCTCAAAACTCACCACTACCTACTCTCAACACTCATTCCTGGATAATCCCCACCCACCACTACCTACTCACCCCACTCACCACTACCTACTCACCCCACTCACCACTACCTACTCACCCCACTCACCACTACCTACTCTCACTCACCACTACCTACTCACCCCACTACCTACTCACCCAACTCACCACTACCTACTCTCACTCACCACTACCTACTCTCACTCACCACTACCTACTCACCCCACTCACCACTACCTACTCTCAACACTCATTCCTGGATAATCCCCACCCACCACTACCTACTCACCCCACTCACCACTACCTACTCACCCCACTCACCACTACCTACTCCCACTCACCACTACCTACTCACCCCACTCACCACTACCTACTCACCCCACTCACCACTACCTACTCACCACTACCTACTCACTCACCACTACCTACTCACCCAACTCACCACTACCTACTCACCGCTACCTACTCTCAACACTCATTCCTTGATAATCCCCACTCACCACTACATACTCACCCCACTCACCACTACCTACTCTCACTCACCACTACCTACTCACCCCACTCACCGCTACCTACTCTCACTCATTCCTTGATAATCCCCACTACCTACTCTCACCACTACCTACTCACCCCACTCACCACTACCTACTCACCCCACTCACCACTACCTACTCACCCCACTCACCACTACCTACTCACCCCACTCACCAGTACCTACTCACCCCACTCACCACTCATCCCTTGATAATCCCCACTCACCACTACCTACTCTCAAAACTCACCACTACCTACTCTCAACACTCATTCCTGGATAATCCCCACCCACCACTACCTACTCACCCCACTCACCACTACCTACTCACCCCACTCACCACTACCTACTCACCCCACTCACCACTACCTACTCTCACTCACCACTACCTACTCACCCCACTACCTACTCACCCAACTCACCACTACCTACTCTCACTCACCACTACCTACTCTCACTCACCACTACCTACTCACCCCACTCACCACTACCTACTCTCACAACTCATTCCTTGATAATCCCCACTCACCACTACATACTCACCCCACTCACCACTACCTACTCACCCCACTCACCACTACCTACTCACCACTACCTACTCACCCCACTCACCACTACCTACTCTCACCACTCATCCCTTGATAATCCCCACTCACCACTACCTACTCACCCCACTCACCACTACCTACTCTCAACACTCATTCCTGGATAATCCCCACCCACCACTACCTACTCACCCCACTCACCACTACCTACTCTCACCACTCATCCCTTGATAATCCCCACTCACCACTACCTACTCACCCCACTCACCACTACCTACTCACCACTACCTACTCACCCCACTCACCACTACCTACTCTCAACACTCACCACTACCTACTCTCACCACTCATCCCTTGATAATCCCCACTCACCACTGCCTACTCACCCCACTCACCACTGCCTACTCACCCCACTCACCACTACCTACTCACCCCACTCACCACTACCTACTCACCACTACCTACTCACCCCACTCACCACTACCTACTCACCACTACCTACTCACCCCACTCACCACTACCTACTCACCCCACTCACCACTTCCTACTCACCCCACTCACCACTACCTACTCACCCCACTCACCACTACCTACTCACCCCACTCACCACTACCTACTCACCCCACTCACCACCACTACCTACTCACCCCACTCACCGCTACCTACTCACCCCACTCACCGCTACCTACTCTCAACACTCACCGCTACCTACTCACCCCACTCACCACTACCTACTCACCCCACTCACCACTACCTACTCACCCCACTCACCACTACCTACTCACCCCACTCACCACTACCTACTCACCCCACTCACCACTACCTACTCACCCCACTCACCACTACCTACTCTCACTCACCACTACCTACTCACCCCACTCACCACTACCTACTCACCCCACTCACCACTACCTACTCACCCCACTCACCACTACCTACTCACCCCACTCACCACTACCTACTCACCCCACTCACCACTACCAACTCTCACCACAAAAGGAGGGGCAGGGCCCCATGTAGGTGACCGTTTCGGCCGGGGCCAGGATGGCACGCACCTCGTCGCCGTTGGCAACAGAGCGGAGAGGCAGTTGCCATGGTTACCTGGGTTTGTTATTGCCCGCCCAAGTCGCTGTAATAAAGGCATCAAATTGTTTGATTATTCCATCATTTACCATTTATCTACTTTCATGTGCCTTTTGTTTTGGTGACATTTCATATTCTTTGAGTCTTTCGGTAAAGTCACGTAGAGAGGTTGAAATTAATAAAAATAAACTACAACGAAATCGTCTTCCTCCTCATGACGATCGCTTGTGTTGCGTTCGAAACGTTGTAGTTTGTATATTTTATTTTCATTAATTTGAACCTATCTACGTGACTTTACCAAAAGACCAAAAGAATATGAATTCCTACAGTCACGAAAGCTTTAAGTCAAGATTTGACATTTATTTGTTAACTCATTATACATTTTGCGTAGGAGGGTTTTAATTTGCTTGGTAGTAGCTGTGTTTCGGGTTTGGTCCTCATATAAGGAATGTTCACCTTTATGGGATGCAGTTAGCATGAATGATGCTATATATAATTAAAACATTATTTATCATAACTGAGACCATACTCAGTTGCAATCACCTTACTACTTAATGAGTAGAGAATACGTTTCCAAGAGAAAGATAAAATAGGTAGATGACATGCATTTGGTACTGGCAGATCCGGCCACATGCCAAACAGTTACGCACATTAAATGTAATCGACTCTCAATTGTAATACAATAATTGTCGCTATGAAATAATTGCTATTACCATTAATCATTCATTAAGGTACACAGGAATTATTTGTACTATGTATATGATCTTAAGTTAATGCATCAATATTACATACATATAATTAACACATGTAATTTCTCAATCATAAGCCGCATTATCGGCATACTTATGTGCAATGCAAAGTCATCAATCGGGAACGGGTATTGATATTATTTAGATTATTCTGCTGCTATAAATGCCCGAATGATGGTGCCACTTTGTTGAGCTGTCATTTGTGGCGGCCAGGTGACTTCTGAAAATAAGTGAATACCTCAGTGGGCTTTGCCTGGTAGGATGGGGATGGCTTAGTGGTGTTGTGTGTGTGTTTGGGTGATTTGTTGACCTTTCTTGAGACTTTGTACTACTATCGTGTTTATTGTTTGTAATGTTCTTAGCCTGTGCCTCCTACTGGACATCTGTGAAAAAGAGCTTTATAGCTCATAGGATTGCTCCTGCGGTATAAATAAATATTCCAATTTTGATTTGTGCTCGCTAACAGCACCCTTAGTCTGTTACAGCTACACGGAGGGGTGGGGGGGTGTTCTGTCGTTGCTGTTGTTGGTACCTTGGGGGAGTCTGGTTGTAGTCCCACGGCCACTTCGACCGAAGCGACTGTGGAGGAGGACCTCGCAGTCCCGGAGTCTACGGGAGTGGGGGAGGGGGAGAAACACAAATTAGGGTCGCATCCTGAGTCTGCCTCCACGCCTGCTGTGAAGAGTGCCGTTAACCTACTCATGTACAACTACAGAGACAAAGATCCCACTAATAGGCATGGGCCAAGTGCTGTTAGCAACCACCCAATGATGACCAGCATGGCACACAAAGGGGGGCTGGTGGTCAGTACCATACCTTGGTCTCATCACCAATGTTTTTAACACACTGCACCCTCGATGCAGCTAAACAGAAGCTGCTTGGGCATGCGGTGGCTGGGCATGCATGCTACATGACCCAGCCAACGCAGCCTTGCCTGCCGGAGGAGCTCACTGATGGGAATGTGTCCAGATCTTTAAAGGATTTGTGAGCTCACAATCCAGCAAGGATGGATTATAGGCATGCCAGCCTGAATATTTCTAACCAGCACATGTTTCATTAGAAGGGTCCACGTTTCACAAGCATAGAGAAGGGAGGGCATGACTGGCTGAGAAGACCCGAAGCTTTGTGCGGAGCAACAGACTAAGTAGCTTCCATAAAGCATTGTGCAGCCGATTACAATATGATGCCGCCTGTACTGGCGGAGCCAGTGGGGGGGTGGGGTGGAAAGTACCCCCCCCCCCCCAATGATTCGATCAAAATCCCTCATTTCGATCGGATCATTGTGGTTTATTAGTAATAAATCGGCATTTTGCGACCCCCACTGCCACTGTAGCATATTATTACATGCCAGAGACTCTTATGAGATGATATGACAATAGTCCGAGTCCATAATTGGCAATAAGTAACTGCAAAGCAGTTATAAGTGACTCAGAATTGTGCGCAGTTGCGTATACAGTACACGACTTCCCTTAAGGCATTCACCTTCAGCGAGCGCGATGCCGATCACACACGGTTCGAATTCGACCCTCGATCTATGGCTGTGCCATTGCCGCACACACATAATTTAAAAAGCAAGGGACAAGTCCTTATTAACAATATCATTTTTCATTGCTGGAGGGGTTGCCCCCCCTACCTGAAAAGCCATTGGCCGCCTGACTGATTCGGAGCGAGACCTGTCAAACCGGAGCTGGTCATAAGCACATTGCCCAGGTATGGGAACTCTCCACTCTCTCCACAACTGCCCATCACCAATTTGGAGTTGTGGGGGTGGAGTGTCCGATGGTACAAAATACCCAGGCAGGTGCTTAGTTTTGGTGGGGCTGATGGTAAGGCCCCACACCTCTTAGTGGCAAGCTCCAGCAGCAGCGCCTCCAACTCATCTGCGTGAGCAGCAATCACCAGATCATCAGCATGCATAACGTGGTTGACCAATAGGGAGTCATCCCTCGACCGCACCCGGGCATTGATCAGCCTCCTGCTGTATCTGTACCAGATGGAAATTCCTCCGGTACAGCCAAATAAATCTTCTCAAACTACGTGTTTCAAAGATGTAAAATAATGTGGCAGCCAGACGACATCCCTGTCGCACCCTCCAAAGTAAACAGAATGGCTCCGACTCCTGGCCACGTAGCTTTACCTGGGCCTGCCCACCATTATGGAGGCTTTTAATGATTGTGAGCAGAGTCTTGGACTCTAAAAGCACGAAGAACTGTCCATAGCCCTAGCCTCTTGATGGTATCATAGGCCTTGACCAGGTAAATAAAGCAGAGATGTAGGCCTTGTTGGAATTCCCTACACCCCTGCTGTAGCAGACGGACAGAGAATATGGCATCCGTGCAGGACCGCGCTGGTCTGAAACCACATTGGGGCTCTGTAAGCCTCTCATCAGCATGCCAGGACCTTTCCGAGCACACCGAGAAGAGACATGCCCCTACGTTGTTACAATCTGTGCGGTCCCCGCTTCCAATCCTGCAGAAACCGTTCTGTGGTCCAGACAGTTGTGATGTCATGTAGGGCAGTCTGCACACAGATGCCACCTTCCCTCAGTATTTAGCTTGAGAGATCGTCTCGAGCTGGCGCTTTTGCTCGTCTCAGACTTCGGATTGCCCCTCCACAGATGGCACCTCAGTCAACCATTCAGAAGGGGTGGCTACTTCTGCCAATATTTGAGGCATGGCAGCCCGAGCGGTCGTCCCCACCTTGTCCCATGATGTTTTCTGGGCTGAGGGAATTCCCCTCCCCCAAGACCTCACAAAAATGCTCTGCAAACCTGCAGACCTGTTCCTGGGGGTCAGAAATCGGATTACCATTCTTTCCCTTAAGGATGGTGATAGGTGAGGTGCTACAAGTTACTTTTTTGATGGAATTAAGTGATTTGCTGAGGCAGATTCCATCTCAGCAAACCGCCCCCACCACTCATCCTTGCAGCGCCGCACGGCTCTCCGAGCGAAGGCTGCGTTAAGCCTCCTCATTCTCCGATGTTGGATTATGTAGATGATGGGAGTGGACCTGTTGTTTTCTCTAAACCAGCAAGAACACCTCGTCCTTCAGCCAGGGTCTCTGCGGAGGTCTGGACCGCTTCCACAATGCAGCCGTTGCAGCTGCACGAGCCAGTCTTGAACCTCACCTGTTTTCTCCCAACATGTTTGAAACTATCGTCAGCTAGTTGAGACCAGGCCACTGTGGGTTTAAATGTGGTCCTAGATGGACACTCACCACCGGAGTGGAATAATGGTAGGCGCATCTTACAGATGACAAGCTGATGGGCAGTGGGTAGATCAGCATCAATGTAGGTCCTGGTGTCAAGGGCATGAGCCCGGCGTGCATCCATGATGTTGTGTGGATACCGATGCCAGAACAGCCCATTGGTAATTCCAAGCCCATGGGCTATACACAAGTCTAGCAGCCTCCTACCGTTGTTATTGAGCTGATCTGGCCCATGCCTTCCAATCACTCCAGCCCAGGTGCCAGCATCATGACCCACTCGGGCATTAAAGTCACCCAACAGGATGACTCTAACACATTCCTGCGGAGGGAGCTGATAGAAACGTTGGGTTGCTCGGTCAATGGCCAGCCCCTCCCCGCCCAGCCCCTCCCAGCCCAGCCCCTTCCCACCCAGCCCTCCCCTCTCCACCCAGCCCTCCCATTTTTGGATGCACGATGGACGGACGGACACAATAATCCCCTGTGGGCTGGTGGAACCAGGTGGTTCCTACCAGTAAAGGCAACGTTTGTGGGGAATAATAGCCATTTTCTATACTTTTTAGGCATAAGCAATAAAAAATATCACTTAGTACATACACACAAACATACCTACACACAACAACCGCCATTCGCCACTAAGTGGCGGTGACGTCACCACGACGCTTGTGCCAGGCCAAGCGCACTTTGAGGCCACGTGAAGTGTCGAACGCCCGCTTGCAGGTCACGGGGCAGACCCAAGTGCCACGGGTCGACTGACCGAGATGACCAAGATGACTGGCTGATGCACCACCTGTGCCCCCTACTGTGCCAACTTACTATGCTTTAGCCACCCCGCGCTCCGCTCGTTGTTGTGAGCGTCGCTCCTCCGCCCTCCGTTGTTGTTGGAGGGCGACTGCCTCCAACTGCCCAGTAGCGTCCTTCACGAGCCTCCTCCACAGAGGCCGATCTTGACACCGCTGGCACCAGTCATCGGCTAGTCCACTCAGCTCCACGTCCTCCTGTACCACATCACTCCATCTCTTCTCTAGCCCGTGCCGCGCCCGTTTAGCCCCCTCGATCCGGCCGAACAAAAGCCTACACACACATACTTCCACATACCTACACACGCGCGCATCGACTCGCCGCTTCGCCCACTCGATGTGGACCACGAACTGCTCGTACCTTGGAGGAGTGAAGCAGGGAGGAGTGAGGCAGGGAGGAGTGAGGCATGGAGGAGTGAGGCATGGAGGAGTGAGGCAGGGAGGAGTGAGGCAGGGAGGAGTGAGGCAGGGAGGGCCTCGACAGTGCGGAGCAGTCGCCACGGGGTGTGGGGTGGAGTTGGCTGACGATCTGATGCAGCAGCAGCAGCGACGAAACGAGCAGGAGGCCGATGAAGCGACACCACCACCCACCAATCACCACCAACCAATTACCATCCACCAATCAATCCCCACCCACCAATCACCACCCACCAATCACCACCAACCAATTATTATCCACCAACCAATCACCACCCACCAATCACGACCCAACAATTACTATCCACCCCAACCAATCACCACCCACCAATCACCACTAACCAACCACCAACCAATCACCAACCAACCACGAACATCAACTTCACAAATATAAATGACGTCACGCACCTAGGGGGGGGGAGGGTCAGACATGTGTGACGAGAGGGGGGGGGGAGAAATGTGAGGTCACATCAAAATGCGCAACTTTAAATAAATATAGACAACACGTTATACTTAATTAAATATACTTTTTAATTAATGTTTTCTCCTACAATATCAGAGTGCAGCGCCACATTAGATATGCACTACAATCACAATAGTTTAACGTGATTTGAAGCATGTTTTTTTTGGGGGGGGGGCAGAGCTTTGTGACGCCGTGTGACGAAGGGGGGGGGGGGGGTTCAAAAATCGTCCAAAATCGCGTGGCGTCATTTATGGACGACCCCAGATAGGATGATGATGATCCAGAGGGAATAAAGCCCTCGAGTTATGAGGACGACGAGGACATTGAACCCCGTGGCATTCGCTGCTGCTAAGAACGACGAGCAGCTGTGTCGGCAGCAGCAGAATAAAAACTCTGAACAATCACCTGTACAGGTACTCAATGAGGCTCACACGGTGCAACATTTGCATACTATTGGTGAGAAATTGCTTTTAAACCACATTTTCATCGACGTAATTACCAGTTCGACACGCAGGTTTTCACGACCGATATCCATGTTTTTTTTTAACGACACATTTATATTTACCGCGACCTAACCCAAAAAACATTACAGCCGTATCTACCATTTGTATGTCTGTGTTATATAGAGCTTATGTGGAGCGGTAGTGTAGTGGTTAGTGCCCGGCGACCAGAGTTCGATTTCTGCTCACGGCCAACACTGTTGGTGACGATTATCTGAACCGGTCCGGGGCCTCCTCTAGGTAGAGCGTAAAACATCGCCACTGGGGAGACAAAGGCGAAAGGCGGCCGGGCGTGGTGCTGGCCACCCACCCCCTCGTGTGCAGTGCCGGCCTTCATAGGTGCTGCTCGCATATTCGCGAACAGCACTTGCCCCTGCAGTCAAGGCTACACGGGGATCTCTGTTGTCTTACACAGCATTAAGAATCAAAGTAAATGTTGATGAGCCAGCTGAGAACTCGAGAAGAGACGAGGACCGGAGTCTCATTTGCAAGAGTGACTTGACCCGAGTCACCAACACGACAATCTTATACATTTATCTAGCGACTTAACCAAGAAGATGTACACAGAACGAACTGCGGGCCACGGTGTTTGGCGACATGAAACGAGCTTCAAGTTCATGTATTAGGTGTGACCCTGTGAGCCATTCGGCTCTTGAATCGGGTGCAACCGCAACAAACAAAAAACAAAAACATGAACAAGAAAACATCTTATAGTGACTATGTGCAAACAGAAAATCCAAGAAAAGACAGCTAAATATTGCAGAAAAACACCGCACACCAACGCTGTGCGCAAAAATCCCAGTTGGATGCAAGTCAAACAACAACAACCACAAGACAACTTAGATTAAGGCTAATTCTGTACTACAACAAACAAACATGGCCAAACCAAAAAACTTTTCGAAAATCATCAAAATAAAGCCATAAAAGTAATGAAACAGTGCAGGTCATAGGAACTGTGACCGAATTTTCACAATAAACGACATAAAAAAACATGTACCACCAAACTCTGCAGCCATAGCTGGCTGCACGAGTCATTCCACAACGGAGTGGAAAGGGAACGTTTAGGTCACGAGCTTCCGGGCAGGGAGCGGGGGGAGTATGGGAGGTAGAGAAGAAAGGTTTCCACGGATCCCCACTAAAGATGTACAAACACGTTAAGAAAACACGCGGGGTGCTGAGAGAAATTAGAAACAGAACACAGGTTGTGAAGGGATAACATTAATGAGAGGGTACGTGTCGCCAGAGACCACAGATGGTTAGACATTAATGACGGAGAGAGCGGGAGATATAAAAGTAATATAAATATTTTTTAAACTTTTTTTAAACACGCTTTTATGAAATGTACTAGTAGGCAGTGGCCCTGAAGCTTGCCACAACGTAAGGGACCGTGGCCAATTACAGCCAACGTCAGTTGAGCGTGGACAATTAGACCCAAGCCGAAATTTTTATTAAAAATATAATTTTTTTATGATCTAATATGGTATTGTCATCAGTATGACATAAGTACTGTATACCAAGTTTGCAGTCGATACCACATTGGGAAGTGGGTTAAAAATTTAGTCACAAGATTTAAGGATGGTTCAATCTTAATTTTGGAGCTTTCGTGACTGCAGGAATTATTTTATCTTCATACGTGACTTTACCGAAAGAACCAAAGAAAGATTTAAGGATACAACAACGACAACCACAGACGGAATAAATGCAAGCCGTAATAAAGGTGACAGTCACAGACAATAGTGGCACTTTCCCGGGACGAAGACGAGTCGAGTGTCACTCCGCTGTTTAGTGTCTCCGCGTTGTTCGCTGTCAAATAGAAGCCTCGCCTTCCCCTCCTCTGCCACACCTCGTCAGAGAGCTCCTTGACACCCCATGGACAGACAAAGTGGCCGTCGTCTCTGCCCCACGCGATTCGCGTCGACGTGAAAGGTCACTCGGCGCGTGTTCGTTATTGTATTTGGTAGATTTGTGATTGTGTTCCACTCTTCCTGCCCACCACCCCCGCCGCTCTCTCGTTCGCACATTGACACCCCGCACATCGCATTCGATAAAAGGCACGAAAACATTTGTGAATTCTTCAAAGCCCACTGGCGATCCTCAGTTGGTTCCTCCGCGGCTGCATGGCGACCGGAAATTACTCCGCTTCAAAAGGAGTGACTTTGCTCAAGTGTTTATCCATTTTACACGCAATAAATTGTAAACATGCTGATTTGTTACCGAGTTATCAAAGGTCTTGTGTGTTCACTCACGTGTAAGTGTAATTACAATGTCGTGTTTGCACCAATTAGTTTGTTGTAATGGACGCCGGGAGGCAGGGCAGCATTCCCTCGGTATACGCGAACTTGCTTTCCGTGATTTTGGCTGCAACTCTACACGACAGTATAGAGAGAGCGAGAGAAAGTGGTGAGATACATTGATGAGAGAGAAAGTGACCGAGAGATAAGTGACTTTAGATAAAGATATGAGAGAGGACTTCTTGAAGCTTTAGAAGGTAGGTTTTCGTACAGCCGAATGTGTATGCCGTCTTATCATTCGGTATTTGTGTTTTGGACAATTTTAATCTTTCGTTATGTTCGTATTTTTGCGTCTTGATTTAAAAGTCTCGGTGCCAGCGCGACGTCGTCACCCCCCTTGTCACCACCACCCTCTTCCTCGCCAACCCTCTCCGATCATCGCGTGACCTCACCCACCCCAGGGTCTCCATGCCGGTGCGTTACAGTCGGAAGTCGATGCCAACACAAACCGCCATTCGCCGCTTAAGTGGGGGTGACATCACCACGGCGCCCGTGCCAGGCCAGGTGCACTTTGAGGCCACGTGAAGTGTCGAAGGCTCGCCAACTGGCCAGCAGCAGCGTCCTTCGCGAGCCTCCTCCGTGCGCACGAACAACAAGCGTATTCCACCATGGGAACCTCATGTGCCAGTAAAAATATGATAATTGTTTTTTTACCCTTCTATCTGGCAACAAAACTGACACCTTTTTACAAGGAGTCATGTTTGCATAGACCGCAATACCTGCAGTTATAATACAAACAAAAGACATAACTCTGATAATGTGCACTGTCCTTGAAGTTGATTGGTCCACACCCGAGACGCCTTTAGGCGTCATCTGGTCCAACCCATGTGAGACTAGGCTCAATCAACTTCAAGGAAAGTGCACATTATCAGAGTTATGTTTTATGCAAACATGACTCCTTGTAAAAAGGTGTCAGTTTTGTTGCCAGATAGAAGGGTAAAAAAACAATTATCAAGCGTATGATTACAGACGCGTCGAGGGGGGAAGGGGGGGGGAGGGCGGTGGAAGGGGGGGGGGGCACGACCGACGAGCGGGGGTTTCTACTCCAAAGGTGCGAAGCCGAAGCACTGCTCGAGAGCGATGCTGAGCTTGTCGCGAAGGTCCGTCTTGTCGCCGTAGGCCGGGAGGTAGAATGTGCGGAAACACGTGTGGGCCTGTGGCAGGCCCTCCGGGTTTTCGGCCATGGAGAAGGTGATTCCGAGCGCCTTCATCCCCGACAGCGGCACGCGGTCCGTGCCGGTCACGAAAACTGCGGCAACGGGGGACAGACGGGCGGTAAAGGTGCAGCTGCTGCAACCGCTTGCTCTCGACACACCGCACACGGAAAGCGACAGACGATGGAGGAACTGCGGCGCTTGATAAAAGCCGCCCTCTCACTTCTAACCACGTGAGCCTGATGCGGATTCCACCGGACTGCCGTGGGGCAGCGTCGACTCCTGAGTCACGACTCTTCGCGCACCACAGAGAAGAGGCCCTGGGTTCGACTCTCGACGCTGCTGTGTGTGTGTGTGTGGAGTCTGTGTTCTCTCGCTTCCTTTCCGCGTGGGGTTTCCTCCGGGTTCTCAGTTTCCTCCCATAGTTAATAACAACAAAAATCCACGATATGATGTAACCGGTATTGGCCAAATCCACATCCCCAAATGCTGGGTAACTACCTGAAAATGACCCGATTGGGATCACAGACAGCGCGCGCTGCAGCGGCGGCAACATCGGCCACGACTGCGGCAAAACTCGGCAGGACCCTCCCGAGCGAGAGTCTCGAGACTCGGCGAGACTTTCCCCGGGTAAACGACGAGCGGAGTAAATAAAAATGAAATAAAATCCGTGAAAAATAAAAATTTGAGAATATGACAGCTGGCGGGTTTGGGTGCTGCGGCACTCACTCAGGAACCGCTTCTTCTGTTCGTCGGACAGCTCACGGAAGACCTCCCAGAACATCTTGATGGTGTTGTGCCGGGCGTTGAATCCATTGACGTAGATAACACCCTGCAAGACACACGCGCGGCAACCGCCGGTATCTACCCGATGCAAATTGTGGCGATTGCGGCGGCGACGGCAGCACTCGGGGGGCCCCGGGCGACGAGTGGCCCCGACGATCGCTCTGTCCGGCGCCGCCGTTCGGACGCGACGACGTCCCGTACTTTTGCCGCGGGGGGGGGGGGGGGGGGCCCGAACGACGGCAAGGCGACGACGTCGGCAGCGCGAGGGGGCGCCGGCAGGGAGAGCCGCGCGGCGAGAACTCCCAGCGCCAGCGAGTAAGCCGAGGCGGCACCGCGACAATACCGGCAAACGCAACCGCCGAGAGGGAGGGACAGGCAGGAGTGGGTTGGATGTGACTCAACACGAAGACCCGGGGGGGGGGGGGGGGTGGAGGGGTGCGGCACACGGCGATGGAAAACGACGTAAGAATAATACCAAACGCGACGGCGGAGGTCAGAGTAACGACCAACGTGCCGCCCAGGGGACCGCTTGCGTTGCGAGGGATCTTGCCGACAGCCGCTGCCGCCGCCTCCAGTGAACGGGCCAGCTGCCCGAGCCCGTGTGCGTGCTGCGCAAGGGGGCGCTGCGCTGACCTGTTCGAGAGCAGGCCAGTCGTAGCTCGCCTTGCCGAACGCCACGTCCCTGAGCTCGCGCGGGCTCAGCAGGCGGAAGTGGAGCACCTGGCAGACGGACGTGAACCCTGCCTCGAACCTCTCGAACTTCCGCTGCACCGTCGCTGCAGAACTTGTGATGCACGAACCTCTCCACGTACTCGTGCCTGTCGCGCGACACAGGCAGGGTGACGGCGACCGTGAGGCTTTATTTATATATTTAGGTTTTTTTTAAGCCGCCACTCCTATACAGACTCCTCTACTTACGAGCACTTTCAGAGCTACGAACAAACCTGTCCGTATGTCCACAGTTGCCCGTTCGGACCGAGATGGCGGTGGTTGTTCGGTGTCATTACCCAGCATTCCCAGCATTACTGCCTGGGCCACCGCCATCGTCCGTTGCTGTTGTGTCATCGCTGTGCGGTTCACTACGACGCTCTCTGTGCTTTTCACGAACATCATCAACCCCCATTGTGTCTCAGAAGCGTGGCATCTACATCTGCAGAATGTAAAGAACCAGCGGTTTCTACATCTGCGGAACGTGAAGAATCAGCGCAGAGCATGAAGAACCAGTGGCATCTACATCTGCAGAACGTGAATAACCAGTGGCATCTACATCTGCAGAACGTGAATAACCAGTGACATCTACATCTGCAGAACGTGAAGAACCAGTGGCATCTACATCTGCAGAACGTGAAGAACCAGCGGCATCTACATCTGCAGAACGTTAAGAACCAGTGGCATCTACAACTACAGGAGATCATACAACTTTTAAAGGCATTCCCCGGCACAAGGCTCGCACTCATCACACACACGCACAAAGCGCTCGCCACAAATGAAGCACAATCGATAACCTTGCTGTTCTCGTCGAGAAGCAAAAAACCGTCACGCGAACTCCGGTCAACCTCGCAGGAGCGACTTTTGGCTGGCGGTCGAGCAAAGACGGTGGTCACCGCGTCGGGTCGCCGGGTTCACAGCGCAGCGCGCTCCTCACGACACTACCACTCCCCATTCTACTGGGTAAACAAGCGTCTCTGGCTGAGCGTGCACCGAGCGCACCGCTGGCGATCTGCACTCACTTGTTCCGCTGGGTCACCATCGTGAAGCTTCCTCCCGGAATCAACTCTCTCTGATTACCTTTCCGTTGGTTTCATACTGGTACTGTCAAAAAACAAACCAACAATAATAGCAACCATTACCTCCGCTGGTGCAACATCTTACACGTTCCCACAATGCCAAGGGGCCGAATTTGTTCTCCGTATGTCCGTGCGCAAGAACGGGCGTCTCGTCGCGAGCGTCCGAGAGAGCACGCCTCCCTCCACACAGCCAACACTCGGCTTCAGGTTGAATCTGTGCGACTCCGGGGGTGACAACTCTCTCTCCTATCCAGTGTTCAGGGGCCTGCTCAAGGCGCGGCTCCGGCTGGAGCACGCATACCACACATGTCGGTGATGTGCACGTCTTCTTCGAACGCTGGTGAGCCGGACAAGCCCCTCTCTGTACCAGCGTGGACGGCACCCTCGTGGTGTTCACCTTCTCAAGCGCTCGCTCGTCACCGTGGCGTGCGCGATGACCACCACCACAACCACCACGTCACTTTTCTTTCGTGTTGTGCGCGGCGCTTTTAGCGCCACAGCACGTGGATTTGTAGCGTTTATTTTCTTTTGTTTGCTGGTGACTTTGTGCATTTCATATCGAAATAGTCTCCAGTGCTTTTGCGCTGGCGGCAATAAAAGTTGTTTAAAAGTCAAAGTCTCCTATCGTGGTGTCTCTCTCTCTCTCTGAGATCGGAGTCTCATTTCCCTATCATCCCCAGTGCACTGCAGTCTCCAATAACGCTGCTAAACGGTCCCAGTCAACCTCGTCACAGTCTCGCTTTGGTCTCTGGTGGGAGATGATGGTGGTGGTGGTGGTGATGACGATGGTGGTGGTGATGATGGTGGTGGTGGTGATGACGGTGGTGGTGGTGATGACGATGGTGGTGATGATGATGATGTCGATGGTGGTGGTGATGACGACGAAGGTGCAGGTGATGACAATGAAGGTGGTGATGGTGGTGATGACGATGTTGGTAGTGACGAAGGTGGAGATGATGACAATGATGGTTGTGCTGATAATGATGGTGGTGGTGGTGACTATGAAGGTGGTAGTGATGATGAAGGTGGTGACGATGGTGGTGGTCATGATGGTGATGACGATGATGATGGTGGTAGTGACGGCAGTGATGGTGCTTGTGATGATGACGGTGGCGGCAGTGGCAGCGCGCTCGTCGTAGCCGTCGTCACGTTGTCCGTCCGCTCGTGGTCGTCGTCCCCGAACGTGCCGAAGCACGAGCGAGGTCCCGATGGCCCGTGACGCCTTCCTGGACAAAACGAGACGCCATCGCAACGACGGACAGCAAACGACGGTAACGACCGCAACACTTACGGTGAAAGTGCGACACAAGGTGTCTTCCAAGTGTTCGTTGGTGTCCTCTAGAATCTTCGTCATGCTCCTATAAAAAAAAACGACGATCACCACAGTTCGTCATGAGCTGCCGGTCACGCGCCACTTAAAAAGGTGTTTAGAACATCAGCACAACTAGGGATGCCGCTTGGTGCGCAGGAGGTCGTGGGTTCGATCCCGACCCTGACGCATGCTGTATATTTGGAGTTTGCGTCTCTATCTCTCTCCCGGGGGTCACGTGGATATTTCACGTGGGTCCTCTGTTACGTCTCTGGTGTGAGCGCGTCCGGCCCGGGTCACCAATGTGACAAAAGCCAAACGGTGGCTTCTAAGTAAGTAAGTTGAACTTCTTTCGCACCACCGTACGTAGCCCACCGCGCTAATTGGAGGTGCGGGGGAAGGCCAACGAACACGAAAAGCAGCTCTAAAGAAATGAATTTGTCAATTTAGTTGATGATTTAAGAGTGCACAGCTCCGGTGGCTTCCTAACATCAGAAGAGCGTTCCAGACGGCCGCAGAAGCGCATCTGAAAGCGCCGCGGGACACGGCGACCACCGTCTTTGTTCGACGGCCGAACCAAAAGTCGCTGCTGCTGCTGCTGATGCTGCTGCGATGATGACCAGCGGAGTTTGCGTGATGACGCTTTACGCTCCTTGACGAGATCAGCGAGGTGTTGCGGTTCAATTGCGGCGAGCGCTTGCGTGTGTGGCCTTGTAGCGTCGTGTTCTTTCGGCAAACCTGAA